GCTTAAAGCCATAATGGATTTTTAGTAAATTGTTAAAATTATATTTATATTGACTTATAACAACTATTGATACCCTCTGTTGCCACCGGAATCCACTCCATCAACAACCCTTAAATCAGTTGTTTATTACTTCCCCGTTATCAAGCTTAAAGCCATAATGGATTTGAAGTAAATTGTTAAAATTATATTTATATCGACTTATAACAACTATTGATACACTTTGTTGCCACCGGAATCCACCCCGTCAACAACCCTTAAATCAGTTGTAGATTATTTCCCCCATATCAAGCTTAAAGCCATAATGGATTTTAAGTAAATTGTTAAAATTATATTTATATTGACTTATGACAACTATTAATACCCTTTGTTGCCACCGGAATCCACACCGTCAACAACCCTTAAATAAGTTGTGAATTATTTCCCCGTTATCAAGCTTAAAGCCATAATAGATTTTAAGTAAATTGTTAAAATTATATTTATATTGACTTATAACAACTATTGATACACTTTTTTTGCCAGCGGAATCCACCCCGTCAACAACCCTTAAATCAGTTGTGGATTATTTCCCCGGTATCAAGCTTAAAGCCATAATGGATTTTAAGTGAATTGTTAAAATTATATTTATATTGGCTTATAACAACTATTGATACACTTTGTTGCCACCGGAACCCACCCCGTCAACAACCCATAAATCAGATGTGGATTATTATTTCCCCGTTATCAAGCTTAAAGCCATAATACATTTTAAGTAAATTGTTAAAATTATATTTTTATTGACTTATGACAACTATTAATATCCTTTATTGCCACCGGAATCCACCCCATCAACAACCCTTAAATCAGTTATTTATTATTTCCCCGTTATCAAGCTTAAAGCCATAATAGATTTTTAGTAAATTGGCAAAATTATATTTATATTGACTTATAACAGCTAGTAAGACACTTTCTTGCCACCAGAATCCACCCCATCAACAACCCTTAAATCAGTTGTTTATTATTTCCCCGTTATCAAGTTTAAAGCCATAAGCGATTTTAAGTAAATTGTTAAAATTATATTTATATTGAGTTATAACAACTATTGATATCCTTTGCTACCACCGGAATTCACCCCGTCAACTACCCCTAAATCAGTTGTGTATTACGTACACGATATCAAGCTTAAAGCCATAACAGATTTTAAGTGAATTGTTAACTTATACTGTCTTATAATAACTATACAACATATATAATGATTTAAGGGTGGTTGATGCGATGGATTCCGGTGGTAACAAAGAGTATTAATAGTTATTATTAGACAATATAAGTGTAATGTTATCAATTCACTTAAAATTTGTTATGGCTTTAAGCTTGATATCGTGTACGTAATACACAACTGATTTAGGGGTAGTTGATGGGGTGGATTCCGGTGGCAACAAAGTGTATTAATAGTTGTTATAAGTCAATATAAATATAATTTTAACAATTTTCTTAAAATCTAATATGGCTTTAAGCTTGATACCGGGGAAATAATTCACAACTGATTTAAGGGTTGTTGACGATGTGGATTCCGGTGGCAACAAAGGGTATTAATAGTTGTCATAAGTCAATATAAATATAATTTTAACAATTTACTTAAAATCCATTATGGCTTTAAGCTTGATACCGGGGAAATAATCCACAACTGATTTAAGGGTTGTTGACGGGGTGGATTCCGGTGGCAACAAAGTGTATCAATAGTTGTTATAAGTCAATACCTATATATATAATTTTAACTATTTACTTAAAATCTATTATGGCTTTAAGCAAGATAACGAAGAAATAATAAACAATTGATTTAAGGGTTGTGGATGGGGTGCATTCCGGTGACAAGAAAGTGTCTTACTAGCCGTTATAAGTCAATATAAATATAATTTTCACAATTTACTAAAAATCTATTATGGCTTTAAACTTGATAACGGGGAAATAATAAACAACTGATTTAAGGGTTGTTGATGAGGTGGATTCCGGTGGCAACAAAGTGTCTTACTAGCCGTTATAAGTCAATATAAATATAATTTTGCACAATTTACTAAAAATCTATTATGGCTTTAAACTTGATAACGGGGAAATAATAAACAACTGATTTAAGGGTTGTTGATGAGGTGGATTCCGGTGGCAACAAAGTGTATCAATAGTTGTTATAAGTCAATATAAATATAATTTTAACAATTTACTTAAAATATATTATGGCTTTAAACTTGATAGCGGGGAAATAATAAACAACTGATTTAAGGGTTGTTGTGGGGGTGGATTCCAATGGCAACAAAGTGTTTTAATAGTTGTCATAGTTGTTGATGGGGTGAATTCCGGTGGCAAGAAAGTGTCTTACTAGCCGTTATAAGTCAATATAAATATAATTTTGACAATTTACTAAAAATCTATTATGGCTTTAAACTTGATACCGGGGAAATAATTCACAACTGATTTAAGGGTTGTTGACGATGTGGATTCCGGTGGCAACAAAGGGTATTAATAGTTGTCATAAGTCAATATAAATATAATTTTAACAATTTACTTAAAATCCATTATGGCTTTAAGCTTGATACCGGGGAAATAATCCACAACTGATTTAAGGATTGTTGACGAGGTGGATTCCGGTGGCAACAAAGTGTATCAATAGTTGTTATAAGTCAATACCTATATATAATTTTAATAATTTACTTAAAATCTATTATGGCTTTAAGCTTGATAACGGGGAAGTAATAAACAACTGATTTAAGGGTTGTTGATGGGGTGGATTCCGGTGGCAACAAAGGGTATTAATAGTTGTCATAAGTCAATATAAATATAATTTTAACAATTTACTTAAAATCTATTATGGCTTTAAGCTTGATAACGGGGAAATAATAAACAACTGATTTAAGGGTTGTTGATGGGGTGGATTCCGGTGGCAACAAAGGGTATTAACAGTTGTCATAAGTCAATATAAATATAATTTTAACAATTTACTTAAAATCTATTATGGCTTTAAGCTTGATAACGGGGAAATAATAAACAACTGATTTAAGGGTTGTTGATGGGGTGGATTCCGGTGGCAACAAAGGGTATTAATAGTTGTCATAAGTCAATATAAATATAATTTTAACAATTTACTTAAAATCTATTATGGCTTTAAGCTTGATAACGGGGAAATAATAAACAACTGATTTAAGGGTTGTTGATGGGGTGGATTCCGGTGGCAACAAAGGGTATTAACAGTTGTCATAAGTCAATATAAATATAATTTTAACAATTTACTTAAAATCTATTATGGCTTTAAGCTTGATAACGGGGAAATAATAAACAACTGATTTAAGGGTTGTTGATGGGGTGGATTCCGGTGGCAACAAAGGGTATTAATAGTTGTCATAAGTCAATATAAATATAATTTTAACAATTTACTTAAAATCTATTATGGCTTTAAGCTTGATAACGGGGAAATAATAAACAACTGATTTAAGGGTTGTTGATGGGGTGGATTCCGGTGGCAACAAAGGGTATTAATAGTTGTCATAAGTCAATATAAATATAATTTTAACAATTTACTTAAAATCTATTATGGCTTTAAGCTTGATAACGGGGAAATAATAAACAACTGATTTAAGGGTTGTTGATGGGGTGGATTCCGGTGGCAACAAAGGGTATTAATAGTTGTCATAAGTCAATATAAATATAATTTTAACAATTTACTTAAAATCTATTATGGCTTTAAGCTTGATAACGGGGAAATAATAAACAACTGATTTAAGGGTTGTTGATGGGGTGGATTCCGGTGGCAACAAAGGGTATTAATAGTTGTCATAAGTCAATATAAATGTAATTTTAACAATTTACTTAAAATATATTATGGCTTTAAACTTGATAGCAGGGAAATAATAAACAACTGATTTAAGGGTTGTTTAGGGGGTGAATTCCGGTGGCAACAAAGTGTTTTAATAGTTGTCATAAGCCAGTACTTAAAATCTATTATGGCTTTAAGCTTGATAACGAGGAAGTAATAAACAACTGGTTTAAGGGTTGTTGATGGGGTGGATTCCGGTGGCAACAAAGTGTTTTAATAGTTGTCATAAGCCAGTATAAATATAACTTTAACAATTTACTTAAAATCTATTATGGCTTTAAGCTTGATACCGGGGAAATAATTCACAACTAATTTAAGGGTTGTTGACAGGGTGGATTCTGGTGGCAACAAAGGGTATTAATAGTTGTCATAAATCAATATAAATATAATTTTAACAAATTGCTTAAAATGTATTATGGCTTTAAGCTTGATAACGGGGAAATAATTCACAACTGATTTAAGGGTTGTTGATGGGGTTAATTCCGGTGGCAACAAAGGGTATTAATAATTGTCATAAGTCAATATAAATGTAATTTTAACAGTTTACTTAAAATATATTATGGCTTTAACTTGATAGCGGGGAAACAATAAACAACTGATTTAAGGGTTGTTGAGGGGGTGGATTCCGGTGGCAACAAAGTGTTTTAATAGTTGTCATAAGCCAGTACTTAAAATCTATTATGGCTTTAAGCTTGATAACGAGGAAGTAATAAACAACTGATTTAAGGGTTGTTGACGGGGTGGATTCCGGTGGCAACATAGTGTTTTAATAGTTGTCATAAGTCAATATAAATATAATTTTAACAATTTACTTAAAATCTATTATGGCTTTAAGCTTGATACCGGGGAAATAATTCACAACTGATTTAAGGGTTGTTGACGGGGTGGATTCCGGTGGCAACAAAGGGTATTAATAGTTGTCATAAGTCAATATAAANCAGGTAGAAACTAAATATTTTATTTCAATAATAAAAATTCTTTTAATCCAGCCCCGACTATTCCGCTTAATCTGAGAGGGATAGCACAATTCCGTCTCGCTTGGTTCTCGACCGCCACAACAAAGGCGCCGACACGGACTCTTCCAGCTGTATTAAGCTGTGGTTTATTGCTCTGTCCGTCTTTGTCTATGGTGCTCAGACTGCTCTGGTATAATTATAGATTGTGGTTTGTGGTTATAGAAGAATAGAAGATAGAAGAAAATTATTGTAGATATCTTTTATTAATTAAGCATTTTTAAAATCTGCAAATATTCTGGATATTGCAAATTCTTATATATTAGAAAAAAAATAATAGTAATTATTTTTTCTCTGGATATACATATTATTTAGTTAAATTTAACGTTTTGTAGGTTACAAAATTATTTAAGGAATGGGTAAGTACTCAAGCGACTCAGAAAATGAAAAACGAGGAAAAATGTCAAACAAAAGTAGAAACAGACGTAGGTAAGAGAGACGACGCGTTTATTCAGAAGCTAACCTATGTGTTAAAGACAGAATGCAAAATAAGTAATATTCGTAGATCCTCATCAGATTCAAGTGATGATAATATAAATAAGCGAAGAAAAGACAAAAGGTCTAATCGAAATTCAGAGAGTATAGGTAGAGAAAAGTATTTGAAGTCTAGGTAATTTGCAATGATTTACATTTAATATCCAGTAGAAATTTATTGTTGATTATATATTTCGTAATCACTTCAATCATATGCCCATGGCACGGACAAGTTGACATGCGCCTGGGTCTAACAAGTTAATCCCTAGGTGTAGAATATTTCTGAAAAAAATTGATAAAAGTATTTAAAAAGTACATTTTCATAAAAATCGACATTGAATACAATACCTGATAAATACATGTACATTAATTTATACATTTAGATACCTTAATAAGTTTAAATACAGTTTAAATAACGCAAATTTTTGGAAAACACATTCCTCTAATAAATTCGAAACCTAAGTGTTTAGTTTATAAATTGAACTTCAATCATTTTCAGTGATAATAATAAAAGTTATAATTTATATTTCTGTAAAAAATACTATTGTATCTATTCTATCGTAAGGGGGATGATGTAGTTATTTATTCAAAATTTAATTTGATAATTTATGGAGGTTTATCGGGTACGGAGGGACGTACGTCTAAAGTCTAACGAGAATTTCTGTAGATTCGCTAGTGACTAAAATAGTAAACCTTTAGATTTGGCAACGCTGCACTTGGCTGGCTTTGTTTGGATGCCTAGGCTTGAAATATACATCGTATTAGTCCGGTCAAATTAGTCATAAAAATATTGGTCAAATAACGAAAATTCCGATAGAGCTAAATTTTCGTGGAGAACTTAGGTACACCATTAGAAATAAAGTGTCAAAAGTCCCCATCGATCTCATGTATGCTAAAAAGTTATTCGGGGTAAAATATCAAAATTTGAGGTTTCTTGGATTTTTTTCGAAAACGGTAAGTTTTATCAAAAAAGTAGCCCTGGCAGAAATTATAGCTCTTAAAATTATCTGCAAAAATGGTTCTTATACTTTTTTTTTCTAAGAATCACCATTCCTGAGATATCGCAATTCTAAAAGTTATACTATATATAGTATAACTTTTAGATATAAACTATACTATTTTGAGAATATACACTCAAAAGAAACTCTGTCCCTTAGTCAATCCCCTATACCCGCATGGTCTTGAATAATATCTGGCTACTCTATTATAAAAACTTTTGTAAATCGGCTTCTGCTAATCAACACTTGTATCGAGTATACTATCAAATTCAGATACGGCTAAGCAATCAACTGAACCCAGAAGACGGATTGGAAATTAACAGATAATACTTTGGAACCGATTCAAACTACTCCCACCTGATCCGGAAAAACTCATAAACACTATTTTTTGCAATTGCAAAAAAGGTTGTAGTGCTAAATGTGGCGGTAGAAGAGTAGGGTTACTGTGTTCTCCAGCGTGTACTAATTGCTAAAGCTAGTCTTGCTCAAATGTCCAATTGAATACAACAGACGAAGAATCATGTGATTTCAATGAAGAGACAGCTGATTCATCTTCATTTGAACAATTTATGAACATCCAGCAAGAAGAAGAAATCGAAGAAGACATGACTGTTGAAGTCGACTTTGAAGAGTATGAATCAGATTAAAATATCAAAAGAAATCAGAACTACAGTTAAAGTCAATAATCATTATGTAGTTAAAAGGGCATTGTCCCTGAAAATTCCGTCATACCAGTTCGTGGAGTAGGCCTACCGGTGAAACCACGTTAAAAAAAACACGCCAAAGTACACTACCTCACAGGTGGTGTGGAAATGTGTGCAATTGTGCATATCATGTAGAACGTGACTCCTTCAACTATTAGAATCGCGATATCTTAGGAATGCTGATTCTTAGAAAAAAAAGTACAAGGATCATTTTTGTAGATAATTTTAAGATCTATAATTTTTGTCTGGGCTACTTTTTTGATAAAACTTACCGTTTTCGAAAAAATCCAAAAAACCTCAAATTTTGACCTTTGACCCCGACTAACTTTTTTAGCACCCATGGGATCGATGGTGGCTTTTGACACTTTTCTTTCTAATAGTGTACCCAAGGTCTCCACCAAAATTTAGCTCTGTCGGAATTTTCGTTATTTGAAATGTCTATTTTGACCGGACTAATATGTCACACCTGCAAATTTCAAATAATACGCTACTTCGAAAACCGCGGCGTTGCCGCTATCACGCATGTGGAGGTTAAGTTAGTCAACGACAGCAGTTTGAAGGAGAATTATTNCAATTTACTTAAAATCTATTATGGCTTTAAGCTTGATAACGGGGAAATAATAAACAACTGATTTAAGGGTTGTTGATGGGGTGGATTCTGGTGGCAATAATTGGTATTGATAGTTGTTGTAAGTCAATACAAATATAATTTTAACAATTTACTTAAAATTTATTATGGCTTTCAGTCTTATACAGGGGATATGAGATATTATCTGTTTAAGGGTAGTTGACGAGGTGGGTTCTGATGGCAACGAAGGGCAGTAATAGTATTTATAAGTCAATATAAATGTTATCGTAAAATTTTAAGACAGATTTAATGTGATAGCAGACTTGATATTTGGAATAGAATACTTGACCTTTCCAAGGGTAGTTCATAGTGATAGGGTAGTTTCCGGTGGCAACAACGGGCGGCAATAGTTTTTGTAAATGGATATAAATTAAAATTAAACTTTTTAAATCAAATTTAACGTGGCTTTTTAAGCTTGATTGGAGATACAAGTAATGACAGTTTTAAGGGCTGTTGACAGGGTGTCCTCCGATAGTGACAAAAGATCCGAATGTTTCTTAAAAATCACTATAAAAGTAATGTTAACAACCTATGTCAAATATAGGGTGATACGGGGCTAATTTTCTAAAATATAAGTAACTAAGTTTTAAGGGTGGTTAATATGGGGGTGGTTTCCGATGATGGGGAAGTATTGTTTTCGTTTACAGAAGTCAGAATTTAGTTGGTAAAATCATTTTAAATATGATTAAACGTGATATTACGGGTTTTCATTTTCGTTCAAACGAACGTTCAGAACTTCAGGTACATTGCTCGCTTTAGAACAAACAATACGTATGTTTGATAGTGGTTAACGAAAATGAATTATACCCTTACGATTTTCAAAGGGTTCATAGTAGTCAAGAAGATCATGCTACCCGTCTTCGATTTTTTCGCACAATTCTTGGTCGCCAACAAGATAATTACATATTCATTTCAAATATTTTATTTACCGATGAAGCTTGCTTTACACGGAATGGCGTTATCAATTTGCACAATCTTCATACGTGGTGTGATGAAAATCCTCATGCATTGTTGGCAATCACCTTCTGAGACCATTATTTCTACCAAATCGATTGGGAGGTGTTTAATATCCAAGTTTTTTGCTTTTTCTAGACGATATTCCTCTTGAACTATGAGAAAATATGTTTTTTTACAAGATAGAGCTTCTCCACATATTATGTTCAGCAAGTGCGGGATTTTTTAAAACGATTATTCCCGGGAAAATGGATTGGTTGAGGAATTGACACGCCCATACCATGTCCACCTCGAGCGCCGGATTTAAATGGGGATGAATTTTTATTTATAGGGCGACATAAAAAGAATGGTTTATGCTACGCCATTGAAGAGTTGCGGTAACGTATTGGTGAAGGTTTCAATGCCATACCAATTCATCGTGAAATCTTTCAGCTTGTTTGATTCGACTTCCTAAGAAGATTATGTTCCTGTATTTCAGTCCAGGGTGGACAATTTGAGTCATTGTTTCACACTCGGAATTAAGATTTTTTATGTTTTTTTATGCATTTTATAATTCACAGTTATAACCTAAAATTCAAAATAAACATTTATTTAAAAAATACATACATTATTCAAAAAATAATTATTCCTGACAACTACGCAGAATTAAAAAAAAAGTAAATATTTTTTCTTCCAAAAAGTCTAATTCATTAAAATAATATTATTTGCTTGATAATTTAAAGGAATAAAAAATATTTGAAAAATGTATGTTAAGTGTAGTTAGAACACTAATACTTATTTATAATCGATTTTCATGAATCTTATGATGGTTAAAGACCTTTATGGTATTATTATTACCTACAATTTTCATTCCATTATCTTCATCAGAAAGATTTTACAAAATATTCAAACAATAAGATCCCTTTGGAAGGCCATATCTCAGTAACGGTGCTCCGGAAGACCAATGTTTATATTTTTTTTACTATTTTTGGCTCTACTTTAACCTCCTTAAATTTTGTACCAACTTTTACAAGCATCCTGTATATGTGTTGTGTTATGTAAATTCCTACATTACATAATGAAAAAATAATAATAATAAGGATCAAAAGTTCTCAAATTCAGATTTAAAATACTTAATATGGGTATTCTAAGATTATTTTTTGATTACAAATAGTAGTGGATGAATAACCTTTACAGAAACTGCATCATTCTTAGAATACTTATTATATTTTACATCTACTTATACACTTTTGCAGATTGTTGTAATATGCGCTTTATGGCACTCGAATTTGAATTTTAGAAAACACCTCTACTTGAAATATTAATGTAGAAACCAAAACGTATGACAAAATATTCTTAAAATAAAAAGTTATTAAATTAAAATTGTGAAGAAATTTACTACAATAATTTGTATATAAATATGTGCTATTCGTTGACATTTATTCCAAGGAGACTGCAAATATTCAGTTAATTTCAAAAGAAGTACTTATGTGCATGCAGAATTGTTTATATTCAAAAATATCAGAAATACGTAGACTGCTAATTATATAAAAATTAAAATATATTTTATATTATTCTAAACGTTTTACCTAGGCATGAAATCATAAGTAAGCCAACGANATGGTTTTATTTAATTGTAATTTTCAAATAATTTTTTGCTCATACCAGCTGACCCCATATAGGTTAAAGGGCTATGCTAAATAGCTAGATCTTTATTTAAAGTACCATGGTTTTTCGACTTGTTATACCACTAGTTACAGAATTACCTTTCACTTTCTTGGCCTAAGCATAAAATGCTTCTCAACGTTTTACTTTCTTCACTGTTACATCTTCAGTGATGACTGTGCAAATGTTTTGCCACAACTGAGGAGTCACTACTGAAAATACCAAAATTGAAGAAAGGTGAAACATGTGGAAGTAATGGAATAAAAACTAAAATGAACATAAGGGCAGGGCTAGGGGTTCTAATAACGGGTCTGTCCACGCAGAACCCAGCCCAAAAACAAAGGCAGGACAAAGATCTGTAGGTAGGGCTAAGTAAGTAAAAGATAATTTTGTAACTGACGGCGACCAGCTATACATGTCACAGCATAACAACCTGGAAAACCATTGTACTTTAAATATCAGCATGGGCCATGGAAGCTTTAAGACCACTATAACAGATCTTTGTTATTCATGTAACATGTTCTATGGACTAATCCCTAAATTTCGTAATTATATCTAATCTGATGTGTTTTTTTATTATCAATTTCTTTTTTATAATTATAATTTCTACTTTTTATTATGTACATACTTAGGCATAAGTTATTTTATTTGTATTTTAAAATCTTTTTATAAAATAGGGAAAGTAATGGGTCAATAAGTTGACTAAATCATGTTTTTTTAAGCATTGATTAATACCCAATGCATATGATTTCTTGTTCACACTTAAACAATCACAAAAACTTGATCTGAATCAAGGCAATGCAAAGAAAATATGTTACATTTCAATTTCTAAAACTGAGGCTAGTTAAAGAAGTGATAGAAAAATAATTTGGCTATGAAATTAGTCCATTTTTTGCCTATTTTACTCACATTCAATATTATTTCGCTAACATTAATGCAAAACAAACTATAGGAATGACCTGTGGTTTGTTGTATGTAACGTAATTAGTTTTTATTAAATAACAACTCTGGCATATTTGGAAATATTTTTTAATAAAACTAAAATTTCAGAAGATCTAGAAGTAGTAGCACATCTACCTATCGATCATCAAAATCAAAAGGAAGTACAAGCAATTCTAAAGAGAAATCTAGATATAAAAACCGTAGAAGATCTAGATCACGATCTAGAGGTGCATACAGGTCACGTAGATCTAGATCAAAGTCTTATATAAGGGAATATGTTAGTAAGCAAAAAAGACATTCAAGCTCTAGTTCTAGTTCATCAAGCACAGATCAAAGTAGAAATGAAACAAGAACAAAATTGGCGTATGAAAATGAAAATGTAAAGATTAAAAATAGAAATTCGCCTGACTCTGTTATAGTAGCTAGTGAGCTATTGGATGAAATTAATGAGGATAAATTTGTTCCCAAAAACTTTTCTTCTAGTAAGTCCAAAAAAGTTCCTGAAAATATTGTTATTGATTTGAAGAAAAACACTATTAAAGTACCCGAATTAGAACCTGTAGAACCTGACAGTATATTTCACCACAATGTAAGTTGTTTTACCATCTTTCAAATAAATAGGGAAATATATTATCACTTTTTATTCTATTAGGTATTTGTGGTTCTAAGTTGTTTCCCATTAACTTTAGTATAATTGGTACATCAATAGATATGTTTTTATATTTATATACCTATGTATTTTCTATAAATGGGTAAGATTAAATGTAAGATTTTTTGCAATATGTTATAAATACTTAAAGGTATCAGATTTAGAATTTTGCTTTGAATATCGAAATACTAATTTGCATCGTATTATTTGCACACCATATTGTGTAAGGGTTTTTGTCCATCAATATTACTTCCAATTTTCATCTCGTTTTAATCTGTTTGAAGCATTACTTTAGTAAAAAATGTTTAAGAATTAAAAAAATCGTACTATAATGACAATTTCACCAGTAGGATAGTCCTCTGACCCTGACGTATGCCTCCAGTAATTAGGAGAAATAATAATAATGCATGTTTATGTAATATTCTCTAGAGTACTTAAACTATCTGTCAAATATGATAAAAAAATAGTAAACAGTATCAAAATGATGGCAAAAAATGTACCTGAAGTTCCGAACGTTCGTTTGAACGAAAATGAAAACCCGTAGTATCATGTTTAATCGTATTTAAAATTATTTTACCAACTAAATTTTGACTTCTGTAAACGAAAACAATACTTCCCCATCATCGGAAGCCACTTAGTTACATGTATTTTAGAAAATTAGCCCCGTATCACCCTATATTTGACATAGGTTGTTAACATTACTTTTATACTGATTTTTAAGAAACATTCGGACCTTTTGTCACTATCGGAGGGCACCCTGTCAACAACCCTTAAAACTGTCATTACTTATATCTCCAATCAAGCTTAAAAAGCCACCTTAAATTTGATTTAAAAAGTTTAATTTTAATTTATATCCATTTACAAAAACTATTGCCGCCCTTTGTTGCCACCGGAAACTACCCTATCGCTATGAACTACCCTTGGAAAAGTCAAGTATTCTATTCCAACTATCAAGTCTGCTATCACATTAAATCTGTCTTAAAATTTTACGATAACATTTATATTAACTTACAAATACTATTACTGCCCTTCGCTGCCATCAGAACCCTCGTCAACAACTGATTTAAGGGTTGTAGATGGGGTGGATTCCGGTGACAACAAAGTGTATCAATAGTTGTTATAAGTCAATATAAATATAATTTTAACAATTTACTTTAAATCCATTATGGCTTTAAGCTTGATAACGGGGAAGTAATAAACAACTGATTTAAGGATTGTTGATGGAGTGGATTCCGGTGGCAACAAAAGGTATTAATAGTTGTCATAAGTCAATATAAATATAATTTTAACAATTTACTTAAAATCTATTATGGCCTTAAGCTTGATACCGGGGAAATAATCCACAACTGATTTAAGGGGTGTAGACGGGGTGGATTCCGATGGCAACAAAGTGTATCAATAGTTGTTATAAGTCAATACAAATATAATTTTAACAATTTACTTAAAATCTATTATGGCTTTAAGCTTGATACTGGGGAAATAATCCACAACTGATTTAAGTGGTGTAAGACGGGGTGGATTCCGGTGGCAACAAAGTGTATCAATAGTTGTTATAAGTCAATACAAATATAATTTTAACAATTTACTTAAAATCTATTATGGCTTTAAGCTTGATAACGGGGAAGTAATAAACAGCTGATTTAAGGGTTATTGATGGGGTGGATTCCGGTGGCAACAAAGGGTATTAATAGTTGTCGTAAGTCAATACAAATATAATTTTAACAATTTACTTAAAATCTATTATGGCTTTAAGCTTGATAACGGAGAGGTAATAAACAACTGATTTAAGGGTTGTTGATGGGGTGGATTCTGGTGGCAACAAAGGGTATTAATAGTTGTCATAAGTCAATTTAAATATAATTTTAACAATTTACTTAAAATCTATTATGGCTTTAAGCTTGATAACGGAGAGGTAATAAACAACTGATTTAAGGGTTGATGATGGGGTGGGTTCCGGTGGCAACAAAGGGTACTAATAGTTGTCATAAGTCAATATAAATATAATTTTAACAATTTACTTAAAATCTATTATGGCTTTAAGCTTGATAACGAGGAAGTAATAAACAACTGATTTAAGGGTTGTTGATGGGGTGGATTCCGGTGGCAACAAAGGGTATTANCTTTATCCTAAGAATATTATCCTGCATTTTATTACAAAAGTGGTCAGAGCATATATAGGTATATATAGATATTGTTTCTGTATATGGAATTCCTAAGCTTCTAAACCACTGTCATCTAATTAGAAGATTTTTCGGAAATCTGTAACATATAAAAAAATCTATTAAATGTTTTACGCCTTTTACTAATAGTACTACTAGTTTTACTAATGCTTTTTGGCACTTAAATTTTGTCAAAGCGAAATATTTAAATTTAACCCCAACAGCTTGTTTTATTGCTACGTCTATGATTATTGTTACTTATGGAACGATCGTTGATTTTGTTTCATTTGGTACATATTGCAAATATAGCACTTCTTCGGCGTTGTTCAACACATTTTTCACTGGAAAAAATCTTACTAACAAGCACGAAATCATTAAAAACGCAAAAACATTAGATTACACCACGAAACACAACAATGGCGAACTCGAATTTTCTGGAAAATATCAAAATTTGAGCGTAAAAGTGGCGCGAAACTTAAATGAACCAATCACAACACGGGGAATAGTAAATATAAACATGAATCATTTGAGATTCAAACAAATACCCTGAATTATTTATCTATGTCTTTTCTTGATCTGTGGTTGTCACAAAACTCACAAAACGCTTAGAATTCGCCATTATTCCATGGCTAGAAATTGGCCTCAATGATTATGGGATCGAGGGGGATTATCCCTCTTTATCCTGCCTCATATCGTGTAGGCCTGGACAGTCTTTGTAGGTGGGCCCCATCCGTCGTCTACCCCGATCGCAAATGCGGCCGGTGTAGGCGCTTTATGGGACCTCCTTTTGTCATGGCTGGACCCCGCCGGCTAGGGCCCTTGCTTCTGGCGCTCTTCTTGCTTCGCCGGCTCGTCTGTGTAAACCACGGAGGTGGTGTCATGTTTATGTGTGGTATGGTTGGGTAGGGTAGTGCGGATATGCAGCCTGGGATGCCCTTTGCTAAGGTAGCCCTTAGCCTAGCGCGGGAGTTGGCGGAGTAAGGAGGGTATGGGGGGGGGGTGTATGTGTGTGTGTCGTCTTCGTTTCTTGATCCTGGCGGTTTCCACATACCTAAAGAAATATACTGCGCAAAAGAGACATCCGACAAGTGCAACATAGGAGGCTGCCATTTTTATCTACTCATTGCCAACTCAAAATTTATTTAGTGTGGAAACACTAAACTACCCGAAAATTTTGTGGGCGGCAAATACAAATGTAAGATATGTATATATCAAACCTGGAATTTTAGTTTAAAACTATTTAAGAACTGAAATCAGAGTTTAAATATGTGTCAACTAAGCAAAATAAAATTGCTGCCACATTGCTATCATTTACAAATGAAACCGTAAAATTGTAAAATTTTTTAGTCGGTTTGCAAGCTGTAATGGTCACATAACTTTGCGAGGAAACATTAATTTAGCAACTTTGTTGTAAACTTGTCAATAATCGTTGTGTAAGATTTAATAAAAAATAATAATCGACTTTATTAGCTATAACCAGATTAAATTACAAAACTAGTAGTAAAAATTATACAGAAAAAAAAATCTGGCGTACCCAAATGGAGGTTCAATTGCTCATCAGTAAATAAATAGGAAGGAAGACTAAACATTAAGACTATTAAATATTTTCTTTATTTTAATTAATCAGTAAGTTTGGAGTGTGAATAAAGTAAAATAAGAGTAAAATAACATGTATTATTAGTAATAATAGGTAGTAATATTGCTTGCAAAGATTGAGGCACTTTTAAAAATGAAAAATGAAACTTCAGAAACTTTTGTGGCTGACGGCAGAGGTTCAGTACTTTTTGAAGTTGACGGTAAAGGTTTAATTTCGTCGCTACTCTCTTTAATACAAGGAATGGCCTCTTCTTTTAATAGTGTCAGCATACCAGTTTTCATAATATCATCTTTGTCAAAATGATCCCAACAAGTAAACATAGTTTTTGACCATGTAATGCTTTCATCCCATTCCAAGCCATTGTAGAAGTCTTTTATCATTTTTAAGAAATCTATAGAAAAATACACAACTTCGGNTAATAAACAACTGATTTAAGGGTTGTTGATGGGGTGGATTCCGGTGGCAACAATTGGTATTGATAGTTGTTGTAAGTCAATACAAATATAATTTTAACAATTTGCTTAAAATTTATTATGGCTTTCAGCCTTATACAGGGGATATAAGATATTACCTGTTTAAAGGTAGTTGACGACGTGGGTTCTGATGGCAACGAAGGGTAGTAATAGTATTTATAAGTCAATAAAAATGTTATCGTAAAATTTTAAGACAGATTTAATGTGATAGCAGACTTGATATTTGGAATAGAATACTTTACCTTTCCAAGGGTAGTTCATAGCGATAGGGTAGTTTCCGGTGGCAACAAAGGGCGGCAATAGGTTTTGTAAATGAATATAAATGAAAAGTAAACTTTTTAAATCAAATTTAACGTGGCTTTTTAAGCTAGATTGGAGATATAAGTAATGACAGTTTTAAGGGTTGTTGGCAGGGTGTCCTCCGATAGTGACAAAAGTTCCGTATGTTTCTTAAAAATCAGTATAAAAGTAATGTTAACAACCTATATCAAATATAGGGTGATACGGGGCTAATTTTCTAAAATACATGTAACTAAGTTTTAACGGTGGTTAATAAGGGGGGTGGCTTCCGATGATGGGGAAGTATTGTTTTCGTTTACAGAAGTCAGAATTTAGTTGGTAAAATCATTTTAAATACGATTAAACGTGATATTACGAGTTTTCATTTTCGTTCAAACGAACGTTCGGAATTTCAGGTACATGGCAAAAACA